CAATGGAAATCGACCCTTATCGCCTCGTCGTCGCTTCGATGCCTCGTCGGCTGCTCATTATTCGCACTTAAATCCACCTGAAGAGATCAGGAAGGAAGGAAAGACGAAGTGTATTATTCCTCTAAAGAAAGCTCCTCGAAAAGAAAAAGTGTACAAAAGAAATCTGTACATGCGTTGTAAATCGTTGTAATCAACTCGAGAAATAATATGTGTTATTTGATATTAAAAATACCGAGGTCGGTATTTCTGATCGTTTTTTAGCTTTAAAATTTTTCCCGTATTAAAGAATTTTCAAATTTCTTTATCAATTATTTCTCTATTCTAGTGGAACATCGAAGTCATGAAAATTCTAAAATATTATCCTCGATGAACGATTATTTCTGAATTTTTAATTTTAAACCTGCCTCGTGTTGAAGATAAAATTTTGAAATGTTTGAATTTTTTATCAATTACCCTCGACATCTATTTTGATGGAACATCGAGATCGGGGAAATTTTTAAACTTTATCTTTGATATTACAAAAGGATATTAAACCGTAGCAATGTAGAAAACCGATCGCTCGATATTTCCAGTGTTAAATCTCCCGAAATAACTACTTCATTATTTATCAATGGGTCTCTCGGTTGCGATACGCCCGATACTCAAGTGGAACTCTCAATTCTTCTGTTTCAGGATCATAAAATGCGCCAATTTCCGTACAATTCCATCGTCCTCGGGCCGCTGCTGCTGCTGCTGCTGCTGGCATTCCTGTTCGCGTCGCCGAGCCTGGCGGTGTCGAAATCGCGCGGCAAAAAGAAAGTGCAAAAGGAGGAGCCCGTGGACATCTGCGACATCGACAAGTCCCCGGGGGAAGCGCCGATCTTCTGCTACTGCAACGACGCCAACAGATCGCAGAATGCCACCGAGGCCAATTGTTGGGTATTAAGCAAGTTCGAGCCCACCGATCCCACGTGGAGTTACTTCACGTCGCAGAGCCACCTCGAAAAACTGACGTTCACGGTGCGTCAGATCAACAGCCTCGACTTTGTGCCCACCGACTTGCTCCGCCGGATGAAAAATTTGCGCGTGATCGGATTCCAGTATGCCAGGCTTCTCGAGATCTTCGAGCGCACCTTTAGCAACTTCAGCGATATAACCGACATCAATCTCAGCCGCAATACGATCGGCGTTCTTCACAAGCACGCCTTCGAGAACATGCGCAGTCTCACTGTCATCAATCTCGACGATAATCGCATTTCCGAGATTAACAGGTATAACCGGGATAACCGGGACGGCTTATCCACTCCGCTTAGATTAGCCGTCCGGTAAACGGCTGTTATAACTTCTTAATCGAGTTCAAATTTTATTCGCTCTCTCTCGCTTAATTTTTTTTTTTTATTCTCATCGGTATTTATTTCGCGCGCGCGCGAGATTTCCACCACTCGTGCTGGTGGAAATGAAGTTAATAGCGTGAGCGAGCGATGAAAGATTTTTTTCCGATCTGACCGGCAAATGGCGATGGATTTTTTTGCGGGGGGACGATCTTGGGAATAACTGCTTACAGAGACACGTTCGTCAGTCTGCCGAGTTTGCGCAAGCTGTACCTGAATCGCAACAACATCAGCACCGTCCACGACAAGGCGTTCAAACTGCTCGGCTCGCTGCAGGAACTCGAGCTGAGCGGCAACCAGATCACCGTCATCACCCGCGACAGTTTCCACGGTCTGCACAATTTACTGCGTTTGGATCTACGCGGCAATCAAATCACCATGCTCGGCGATCGTAGCTTCGTCGAGATGCCGGAGCTGGCCGAGCTCCAGCTCGATCAAAATCAGATCAAGTATATATCCGACAGAGCGTTCGACGGCATGGGCAACCTCCGGAAGTTGCAGCTCAGCGAAAATCAGCTGGTGTCGCTGCAGCCGCATTTCTTGGCTGGCGCGTCCAAAATTTACTTCCTAGACCTGAGAATGAACGCGCTGAAGACCGTGACCTTCGACAACGTTAAACCGATCGTGAGGAATTTGTACGACAGCAACGGCTACTTGTACCTGTCAAGTAAGCTACTTCGATCATCATTTTTTGGTTCAGAATTTCTGAAATGAACATATGCATTCGCATCTGCGAGGAAATTCTGCGAGAAAAATTGTATGGAGAATTGTCGAATTTAATTTTTTTTTGGAGTCGGAGAATATTTTTAAATAAACGTTTTATTAAGGATATATTATGTCTATTTTTATTTATAATGAAAAAAATTATGAGAAGATTATAAATCATTCTAGATTGCATTTGAAGGTAAAATAAAAAGTTTTGTAATAATAAGTTTCGGACTTGAATGAACTGAATTAAAAATTATTTAAATAAATAAGTAAAGGTATAGTGGAAACGTAATTGAAAAATGATGACAAAAATATTTTGTATAAGTACTTTATGTATTCAAGATTATTTATATGTAAAATTTCATTACGATGCAGAGATTAGTTGTTCTATAAATAAAAATTAATTTTTGTGAAAAGTATAAACGAAACAATGATGGTACAGATAAAATTTTATTTTTATTTAGAGCACAACTAATCTCTGCATCAATGAAACTTTACGTAAATAATATCTCAAGTACTTAAAATACGTATATAAAAAAATTAAAATTTCACTAGAGCACGCTTTTACTTGTTCATTAAAATAATTCTAAATTCTAAGCCATCGCTAAACTCCTTTTGTATTGTTTTTAAATACGCTTTAGAATAATTTGTAAGTTTTTCATTGTAAATATAAAAAAAATAATATATATATATATATATAATACATCCTCAAATACATCTTCCTAAATAAATTTGAATTCAAGATCACATAATTGAAAATATTTATAATAGCCAAAATCGACAAAAGAGAACTATTCAAAATTCAAAATACAGTACACAATAGAATACAGTACGGAATGGAATATTATATCGCCTGTGGTAGATTGAGGCGATGTTGTTCGCGATCAAAGTAACGAGATCGACTGATCAAAGCGCATCGTCGTATCTGCATGCAGGGAACAATCTGATCTGCGACTGCAAGCTCGCGTGGATCTGGGGCCTGCGGAACGAGACGAAGAACCCGAAACTACAGGGTGCCCTGGAGGAGCTGACTTGCTTCCTTGAGAGCAATAATGCATCGCAGAAGATCAACAGCGAAGACCCAGGGAGAAATCAGCCACACGAGATGCGCGGTAAGTTTTGCTTTACGCGCGAGCGCGTGCGCGTGCGGATTGCCTTTCGGCGAAATTTATCTCGGCTTTGTGTCAAAAAGACAGAGTGCAATGTTTACCCCGCCTAGAGGAATATTCAGGGATATTCTATCTGCTAAATATAAAGTATAGGGCACAGAATATAATTTTTATGCACTATATTCACTAATAAAAGTTAAAAACGAAATAATTACTTCCTTTCACCATGTGTGTGGTGGATTTGTTTTATATTGTCTTATAACAAATAAGATAAGAGATATTTAAATCATACAATGAATATTTTTCATTTATGAAAATATTTTATAATTAATTATATTAATTATGAGGGAAAATATTAAGGGAGAACAAAATTCTAAAGAGAGAAGGAAGAGGGAGACTCACGAAGTCTCGTCATGTATCTCTTATTTTTTTTAAAACAGAATAGTATTGTCTTGTATGTTGCACAGAGGAATATTACGACGACAATTCAAGGGATGACGATAATAACGAAGACGACGTTGATGATAACAACGGTGATTATTATGACGATTCTGACGATGAGAATTCGTTGTCAAATTCTCACAGCAAGGTAAGACGTATGATCTTTTCGTAGATTGCACACATAAATCCGATGGTTTTTAAAATTTACGATAATAATTGTTTGAATCTCAATTTCATTCAAATTTGTTAAAATAAGAATTATTATTATAATACGATCGAAACGCTATTTGTGTCGTTAGAGAATATTGTTCATCCGGAAGCTGGACTTATTGTTAGATCTTTAACTTCGTTACTTTTTGAATTTTTTTAATAAAAAATAATTAGGATATAGAAGATCAATGCGCGAAAGTTATAAACAAAATTAACTGTTTAATTTAGGAATATAACTGTATTTGCAATGAACAGTTTTATATATCCGGAATAAAAATATTAAAGGAAAAGGGATTATTGAAATTTTTTTGCATGTTGCGCTAACTTAATTAGTTTTCGCATCAGATATACAAAGATATTACAGATATTACAGATATACAAAAACATTAGACAGATTTAGCTTCAATTTGAAATGTTAACGATCTTCTTGATTGATCGCGTGATGTTATGTAGGACACTCTGATTTTGATTCGCAGACCGACTACGATAGGAGATGCTGTAGGAAGCATCTTTTTGATTTGAAGCCAGACGATCTGCCATGCCCGGAGCTTTCGCGCGAGGATTTGATGGCATCTGAACAGCCATCCAGCCGCCATGAAAACGCCCGCGTGGGCTCTTCCGGGTCCAGCTGGTTTAGCTCTGGCACGACCTCGGTCCAGGCCGGTCAGTCCGTCCTCCTTGCTTCATTTCTGTTGCTATCTATACCTTTTTTCACGTAGAAGCGGTTAAATGTTCGAAAATAAAGCGATATAAACGCCATCGGCGTCCCGATATTGCTCGAGTGAACGAATGGAAAATCGTACACATAAACGGAAACGGGACGTGAAAGTGTATGTTTATGCGTGTGTGTGTGTGTGTGTGTGTGTGTGTGTGTGTGTGTGTGTGTGTGTGTGTGTGTGTGTGTGTGTGTGTGTGTGTGTGTGAGTGTGGTGGCGTCGCGAC